CCCTGAGGTTTAAAGAATTAAAGTGTCTGTTTCATCCTTGCCTTTAAGAAAACTCTTTCTGCTGACAATGGAGGAGATCAAAGATCTAAAGGCTATGGTGAGGAGGGATCATGGAGCAGATAACCCACAATAAAAACAAAAACTTTTTGGTTTTAGCTGAAAAAGGAGGATGGAAAAGTATAGTGGGCAGGCATATTAAAATCACTACTGTCCACAGCATTCCTGAAAGGAGCAGCTTGTGAGGACCCAACTCTTACCCCTGTATCCTGCTGTGGTGATTTCATTACCCATAGCTACTTATTAATGAGTATATTATATTCAAAAGTAGAAGGGAGAATGTTTCAGGTTGGGAGTGTAGTAAAATGATTTCCAGTCCTCTCTTAGGTTCCATAAATATATCACCTTGTTCTGTCAAAGCATTAGGATGTGATTTTTAAATGTGCCCAACAAAATGCCATTAGTTGATTTCTCTAGCTAACAAAGAAAATGTTCAAGAGTTGGTACCAACCTCTTGGTGATTATGTCTTTAGAATCAGAGTACATTCTTTGTAAGAAATCTTTGGCCGGGCGCAGTGGCTCATGCCTGTAACCCCAGCCCTTTGGGAGGCTGAGGCGGGCAGATCATGAGGTCAGGAGTTCGAGACCAGCCTGACCAACATGGGGAAACCCTGTCTCTACTAAAAATATAAAAATTAGCCAGGCGTGGTGGTGCATGCATGTAATCCCAGCTACTCAGGAGTCTGAGGCAAGAGAATCACTTGAACCCACTAGGCAGAGGTTGAAGTGAGCTGAGATTGCGCCATTGCACTCCAGCCTGGGCAACAGAGCAAGAATTGGTGTCAAAAAAAGATAAAAATTCTCACATCTTATCCTCAGCTGAACCAGCAGCTCTTCGCTACTCAGCAATTAATTTGCCCTAGGTGAAACCGATTCCTATTCTAATTTCACATTGGAATTTGGTTCATTGTTTACATTGATTAAAAAGTGGAAGCATGATTTATATCTTTACCTGGTTCCTTAAATAATATTTACTAGCTCAGAGTTTAGAACTGGTTACACTTTCAGATCAGATAAAAAAAGATTACTGGATATACTCTACAGTGGACTTTGAGCTGATTTAAACATTGCTACAGTTCTAGATACTGATATTAGTTAGTTGGCTTCCTATGCACAAGCACTCCTCAGTTACTTACAGAACTGAATTAAAACCTTCGTATATGCTGGAGGCTACTGCTTACCCTTATTATCTAAGCCTGACTTGCCTTCTCACCTACAGTCTCCCAACTTTAACCATGGTATTTCCACATGGGCTAGATTTTTTTTTTTTTTTTTTTTTTTGTCAAAAGCAGGCAAGCAAGAAGTAGAAGTGAAGAAGAATTGGATGGTCTTGACAATTTCCTTGCTTCACTATGTATCTCCTTAAGCTTCAAATTACAGGCTGTTGAGAAAGCCACAAAAGTAGACAGTGCCAAGGCACTAAGACTAGAGTATGTGAGAGTGCACCATTCATTTATTCAACAAATACTTACTGAGCACCTACTGTGGGCCAGGTACTAACTAGGTACTAACATTACAGTGAACATGGAAAACAAAGACCCTAACTTTACAAGACATTCAGTGAGGAAGACACATTAAAAACAACAAACAGATACATTTATAGTAAGAAAAACAAAACAGGGTCAGGGACAGAAAGTAGCAGAGACTGATATTTTAGACATAGTGGCCAGGGAAGGCTTCTTTAGGGGGGTAATATTTAAGCAGAAATTGAATGAAGTGAGAAAGATACCTGGAAACTCCAGGCAAAGGAAACAGTGAATGCAAAAGTCCCAGCCTGGGAACGTGCTTAGAGTGCTCAGTAGTGTACAGCAAGGAAGTCACTCTGGCTGGAACTCACTAAGTGGGAGAATCCTACAAAAAGAGGTTGAAGATGTAGTCAGGGGCCAGGGCCTTTAGGACTTGTGGAATATGTGGGCTTTGAATTTTATTCTAACATGAGAGGAGGCTGTTGGAAAGTTTTGAGCAGTGAACTGACATGATCAGGGTACCTTCGGACACCAACAGCTAGATGGAGAACAAGCTACAGCAAAGTGTTATCAGAGTCCAATCGTGAAAGAGAAACTATCTAGTTATTTCATGCAGAGGGAATTTTAAGAGTAATAGATGTCAAAAAGAATAATGGGGTGACACCGTAGATTAAAAAGCTGCTAAAAATACCCTTAGCTGGAACCCATGGAACTGCACCAGCTTCTGTGCCATTTGGAGACACTATCACTTTCAACCTCTGTCTAGTAGAGAGGTGCCACCTTGACCATGGAAGGAACTGCTAGAGTAAGGAATAATCCCTTCTCCACTTTCCCTATAGAAATGGCCAGCAACTGCCACACCATTGAATCCAGAAGCAGTAAGTTACTCTCCTCCTCCTGCCTTCTGATTTCCTGGTAGTGGCTCCTACTGGTAGAACTTTATCAGAAGCCAGCTGGCATGAGAGCTTTGGCAATGGGGTTCATACACTAGGCCACTGCAGTAGGGCATAAAGGGGCAAGTGTAGAACTAGGAAGTAACAATCTATAGGGTCAAGAGTAGAAGCAGGGGGCCGGAGAGGTGGCTCACATCTGTAATCCCAGTACTTTGGGAGGCCAAGGGAGGGGGAATTGCTTGAACCCAGGAGTTTGAGACCAGCCTGGGCAACATAGCAAGACTCCATCTCTACAAAAAAAAAATATTTAGTCAGGTGTGGTGGCACAGACCTGTAGTCCCAGCTACTTGGGAGGCTGAGGTAGGAGCATCATTTGAGCCTGGGAGCTGGAGGCTGCAGTCGGCCATGATCATGGCCACTGTACTCCAGCCTGGGTGAGAAGAGTGAGACCTTGTCTCAAAAAAAACAAAACAAAACAAAACAAAACAAAAAACAAAAGAGTAGAAGCAGGGAAACCATCAGGATGCCAGCCCTGTTTTGTTTTTTTTTTTTTCCTTTTTTTTTCCTCAGCTGTGATAAGTTAGCCAATTCAAAGGCCTTGTTCTCCATAATTTCAACTTTCTTTCAGATTTGACCAAGTCAGGCAGAGCTGGTCAAACCCAAAACAACAACAGAAACAAAGAAGCAAAAGAAACGATCGCACAATTTATATTACTGAGCGCTCTAATGGTAAGGAGAAATGAAGACCAGCTGGTTGTTAACTTTAGTCACTGCGAGTTTCCAAGACAAAACTCCAATTCAGCTACGTACCTAGGAATAGGGCCCAGGGTCAAGACTGTTCTTTACCATTTTAGGAGGGAAAAAAACTCAGACTCACCTTCACTGCTGGAAGCCAGATGAAATTCCAGAAAGAAGTTGCCTGCTCTCCATCGTCATGGAAGTAGGAAAACTTGCCTTCCTTGTTTGGAGTAAGTAAAACTGCAGAAGAAGAGTGTACAGCAAAATAAACGTTAGATCTCAACCAAACTTTGGGAGATCAGGGATTCTCTGGAGTGGAGAACTCCCAGACCTCAGCAAATTGTCCTGTTTGAGCAATAAAGACAGCCCAAGCTGGTACCAAGCACTGATAGAGTTGTCAAAGGTCAGGGCCACCTCCACTCAGCGTCGCTTCCTTTGGCTGCCAGTTTGTAAAACAAAACTAGCTCTCAATCAATTTGGAAGTTTATTTTATCAAGGTTAAGGACATGCTTGGCGGGGAGGTCTGTGCCTTTATAGATGATTTTGAGGGCTTCAATATTTCAAAGGTAAGAGCAGGCTGGAGGGAAAAGAGGAAGAACATAGTCACTTACTAAATCCACACATTGCACAAATAGAAAAGGAGCAGGCAGGGGAATGGTCAGGTATGTATTTGCCTCCTACTCAGTAAATAAGCACTTCACTAAGATAAACTGAGGACAGAGCAGCTGCCTGTGGGGACATAAAACCTTTTATCTGTGGCTATCTGATTAGGAACATTAGACAGAGGCAGTTTCTTTCATGACTCAGCTTTCCGCTTGTTTTGCTTTTGGCATAGTGAATTGGAGTATCACGGTTTTTGTTGTTTTGTATATAAGTAGAGAGTTCATTTGGGCCAGGGCCATGAGTTTTTATTTTCCTTTCACAAATATGCCATTTGGAGTTTAGAGGAAAGGCTGGCATCAGAGCCTTCTGTGAGCACTATCCATGGGATTACATGAGGGAGTGACTGTGGGAAGAGAAGAGGACCCTGGGCTAAGCCCTGGGCACCTGAACACCTAAAGGGTCAGGAAGAGAAAAATCCAGCAAAGGAATACCCAGAGAGCCGGCCAGTGAGCTAAATACAAAAGTGCAGAAGAGTGCAGGGAAATGCAGAAAAAAAGAAAGCTTTCCACAAGACAGGACCGATCAGCTGAGCCACCTGCTGCTGAATGGAGTGATGAGCACTGAGGTCTTCCGCCCGAAAGGCAGTAAGGCAGAGGGGGAACCTGAGGGCCGCGGGCTCTCTCTTGGGAGCGGAAACTCGGAAGGGTGGGCAGCGGGGCAAATGCAGGGGGCAGAAGCTCAGAGTAAAGGACGTGCGAAGACGATGCTTGTGCACGACGGAAATGACCGCTGTCCCGGCTCCGCGGGAGATGAACCCGGGCTTCCCGCCCTCGGGGACCAGCCCTCCAGGGACCTGGGACGGTCAGTGCCGGTCAAGCAGAGGATGCTCCTAGCTGAAGGAAGGAGCCGGGGACAGGGAGGTGAGAAGGGGAGCGGGCGGGCCCTGCAGCTGTGGGGCCTCGGGGGCGGGGTCGGGGAGGCGCTGGGCCCCGGCGCCCACTCCCCATTGACCGGCGGGGCCGGCCGGGACACGCCCAGCGCGTTTGGCAGCGCCAGGCCTCCGACTTTGTCCATCTGGCCACGTTTGAAAAGCCACAAAACGGAGGAGGAAACCCCTCAGAGCGTCGCGGTGCGGAGACTGCTCTCCGTCGCTGCCGGGCGCTTCCGGCCGAGCCCACTTCCACCCGCGCGCCCCCCGTCGGCTCCTCCAGGATTCCTCTCCGCTCTTACTGGAGCCGCCTCGGGGCGCTCCCAGCAGGACGGCAAATACCCATCCTCCATCCCTAACCCAGACGCCTACTGGCCCGTGACCGCACTCCGCTCCTTGACTGCGCGCTCCACACCACAACCCAGGCCGCGGCCGGAGCCCAGGGAGTGGGCGGGGTCCGCATGAGCAGGGCCGGCGTCCGGCCAGCGGCTGTCACGTGGGCCTCCCGGGCCAATAGGCGCGCGGCTTTGGGTCGAGCTCAGTCAGCCCCACGGCGACTGGGCCTGGCAGACTGACTAGGTGGATGCGGAGGCCGCGACTAAGCGGCCGAGTCTTAGGCGAGTGAGGTACGGCTGCGGGTCGCCGGTGGGGACGCCCCGGAGGGAGGCGGAGGGAGGGGAGGCGAGGCCCGCCCTTGCATGCATCCCGCCTCTCACGCACCGGCGCCCCGCGACTGTGCAGTTCTCTGCAGGACCGGGCCATGGAGCGCGAAGTCCAGCGAGTCCGCCAGGCGTTCCTGTCCGGCCGGTCGCGACCCTTGCGGTTCCGGCTGCAGCAGCTGGAGGCCCTGCGGAGGATGGTGCAGGAGCGCGAGAAGGACATCCTGGCGGCCATCTGCTCCGATCTGTGCAAGGTAACGCACCCGTGCGGCGGGGCGCGGGGAAGCTGGTCCCCGCCGCGCACTTGTGGACCGGAGCTTCTGCTGGGTTTTCTTTCTGCTTTTACATTTCGGATTACTCCAGCGCTGGGAGTATGATTTCCAACAATACAGATAAAGCCAAAGTTCCGCCGACTTTCCTGGTCCTCCAGCAGTCGGAAGGGTATATGTTACCTGGCCTCTATGGTTTCTTTTCTGCCTTTTCTGTTCTTGTCTATTTTTCTGTTCCATTTGTGTTTTTTTTTTCTTATGATTTATAGAAAGTCTTTGTATATTGTAGATTTCAGTAATTTGTCACTTTACTGTGTTGCAGATACTTTCTTTAGGTTTCTTTTTGTTTCTTTCTTTCTTTGCCAGTCAAATTTAGCAGTGGGAGAGTTGTATACCAAATTTAGTGACGGTAATATTAATAAGTTCCGATAACCCATTCCCATCAGACCAGCCTCTGGGTCTATTTCTTGTCTTTTAGCTTTGCTTATGGTTTCTTTTCTAGACAGAGGTTTTCTTTTTAAGTTATAGTTACACTCAAATTTTTCTTCATAACTTTTTGCACTATTAGATCAGTTCTCAAACTTTAATGCACTGGCCGTCACCTGGGATCTTGTTCACATGCAAATTATGGTTCAGTTTCAGGGATTCCAAGTTTCTAACTAGGTCCCCAGTGATATGCCTCTTTTGGAAGCATACTTTGTGTAGCAAAGCTATTGTTTTAATTTTTGTGTGTTTCTTTGTTTTGTGACAGTCTGGCTCTGTTTTCCGGGTCAGAGTGCAGTGGTGCGATCTTGGCTTACTGCACCCTCTGCCTCCCGGGTTTAAGTAATTCTCTTGCCTCAGCCTCCTGAGTAGCTGGGATTACAGGCGTGCACTACCACGCCCGGCTAATTTTTGTATTTTTAGTAGAAATGGAGTTTCACCATGTTGACCAGGCTGGTCCCGAACTCCTGGCCTCAAGTGATCCACCCACTTAGGCCTCCCAAAGTGGTGGGATTACTGGTGTGAGCCACCACCCCTGGCTTGTGGTAGCCAAGTTTTAAGTAGTGTTTTAGGGTGGAAGTATATTCCTCTATGTTTTCTGATAATATTGTTACCTTTTTTTTTTCTTTAAGTGGCAGGGTCTCCCTTTGTTGCCCAGGCTGAAGTGCAGTGACTCAATCATAGCTCACTGCAGCCTGCATCTCCTGGGCTCAAGCAATCCCCCCACCCAGACTCCCAGATACTGGGACTACTGGCATGAGGCTGTCTTTTTATCTGCATTACAGGTGTCGCAAGGCTTTGCTCTGGGTTTGTGATTTTCCCTTCCCCACAATCCCCTCAATCAAAGATGATGATGATGATGATGATGATTATTATTATTATTATTATTTTTTGAGACGGAGTTTCGCTCTTGTTACCCAGGCTGGAGTGCAATGGCCCAATCTCAGCTCACCGCAACCTCCGCCTCCTGGGTTCAGGCAATTCTCTTGCCTCAGCCTCCTGAGTAGCTGGGATTACAGGCGCGCGCCACCATGCCCAGCTAATTTTTTGTATTTTTAGTAGAGACGGGGTGTCACCATGTTGACCAGGATGGTCTCAATCTCTTGACCTTGGGATCCACCTGCCTCGGCCTCCCAAAGTGCTGGGATTACAGGCTTGAGCCACCGCGCCCGGCCAAAGATTATTTTAAGAAGTAGTAGCAGTCGTAGTACTACTAGTAACTATAAAATTTCTTTTTAGAGTACTTTTGGTGGATAGGGGCTATGATATTAAATAAACAAGATGGGATAATTACGATTCCAAAAAGTCTGTGTCATTTAATCATTCTTCAAAACTAAATGTTTGTGTGAGTATGTGTATGTATATATAGGATGAGTCAAGAAATACAATAAGTTTCCTATCCTTGAGAGTTTTAAACTTGGTTGGGAAACAGAACGTACACAGGTAAAATGTGAGTAATAGTTATAAACCAGTGTTTTAAGGGTGAACTATTAAGATGCAGGTCAAAAGCATAATTGCTGTGATATATAAAGTGTGATCAGAGCAGACCTTTATTACTCAAGGAAGTCTTTCTGAAAGAGGTAATATTTAAGCCTGGCTTTTAAAGGGCATGGATTAGTAAAGAAGGATTTACTGGTAGTGTTACTACTGCTAGTGTTACTACTCCCTGAAATAATCTTTGATTTTTTCAAAAATATATCAGGGAGAGAATTAGTAAGGTTTGTCAAGGGCATGAAGGGTGCGAAAGGAATCTGGATGGCAAACCAGCTAGTCTGATAATGCCAGTTGTCACTGCAGGTGTACCTGGCCTAAGTGTTTTGACATTCAGGGCCAAGTATATCATACTCTGCAAGATTAACTGTGATTCTCTTACAACAGAGCGAATTCAATGCATACAGTCAGGAAGTCATTTCTGTCCTTGGGGAAATTGATTTTATGCTTGAAAATCTTCCTGAATGGGTTACTGCTAAACCAGTTAAGAAGAACCTGCTCACCATGCTGGATGAGGCCTATCTTCAGCCACAGCCTCTAGGAGTGGTGCTGATAATCGGAGCTTGGAACTACCCGTTTCTTCTCGCCATTCAGCCACTGATAGGAGCCATTGCTGCAGGTCTGGTGCCAGCTTATGTCTATATACCTTTTTAGGGAGGCTTCTTTTCTCATATTCATTGTAAATTAAGGATAGTGGCTAAATACATTTACTTTGGTCGTTTGCCTTTGTTTACACCGCCAGTGTATTGAGAATTCGTACATATCATACATATTTTTAAATGGGCTGCTAAGGAGATTTGTGTGGCTATTTTTTGAAGCACGTGGGGAGTGAACCTGTGAGAGTATAAAGGCATCTGGATCAACAGGCCCAGCAGTTTGGAGTCAGGCATCCATATCTAATGTGGTTTCAGTTGCTGGCTCTGGCTTTGGATGACCCATTTGATTCTGTCTGACCTGTTTCTTCATTCAGATAAAGACTATGAGAGTAATGTTAGTTTGGGTATACAGCAAATGCCAGGAGATTAATTTCTCACTTTGCAGGATCCAGATAGAGAGCTGTATGTTGAAATGGCTCATTTGCCCAATAATTCCAGGGCAGAGAGGAACATCTAAGGGGAAGACGGGAGAAAAGTGATAGAAAGCTGGAGGAGTGGGAAAGGCTGATGGGACCCATTGTCAGTGACCTGAAGATGATGACAGCTAAGGAGTTAAGCCTTTGAAGAGAAAGTGAGATGAGCTCTTATGTTCATTATGAGGATGTGCAGCATTGAGAGCTGCAGAAATAACTGGGAGCACCTAGCCTGTACTTCCTACTGAACACCATTTTGGTAGGTATTAAAGTTAAGTCTTAGATGATACTGTTCTACTTTTTACTTTGTTTAGGAAATGCTGTGATTATCAAGCCTTCTGAACTGAGTGAAAATACAGCCACGATCTTGGCTAAGCTTCTGCCTCAGTATTTAGACCAGGTAAGAATCTCTTGAACCATCTTCAACATATGTGTTTGTTGTGGAAAACACACATTGGATTTTCTTGCTATTACATGTCATTGCTGGCCAGGGACCCAATTGCAATTTCCTTAAGCCTTCAACAATTGGCTTAGTAAAAGGAGTTAAGTTCCAAAATAAACTGTGGACTCACCCAGCTGTTAGGGTTATATAGTATATGTAGGCCCATGTCTTCACGGGTATGTACTGCTGCTATTGACAGATTATCTGTTTGATATTTTGGATTAATCCTTGTTTGAGCTAACATGATTTTAGGTGTTTTCATTTAATGGATTATTTAACAAGGGACTGGTACTGTACTGGGTGCTAGCATATTTCTGTTACTAACAATCTCTTTTGTTCTAACAAAATGTAATTTTCTATGGTTATGTAAGAGTACTTTTTTTTTTTGAGGTGGAATCTTGCTCTGTCACCGAGGCTGTAGTGCTGTGGTGCGATCTCAGCTCACTGCAACTTCCACCTCCTGGGTTCAAGCAATTCTCCTGCCTCAGCCTCCCTGTAGGTGGGACTACAGACATGTGCCACCATGCCTGGCTAGTTTTTGTATTTTTGGTAGAGACACAGTTTTACCATGTTGGCCAGGCTGGTCCTGAGCTCCTGACCTCAGGTGATCTGCCCACCTTGGCCTCCCAAAGTGCTGGCATTACAGGTGTGAGCCACCACGCCCAGCCTATAAGAGTAGTTCTGCTTTCAAAAAGACATGTCTGTGGCAGGAAAACTTGCCCCCCACACACAAAAAAGTGCCCTCCTGAACTAGAGGGTGGATCCTCATGCTGACTTAACATGCTGGTATTTAAGAATAGCAAGAACTGAATAAAGAAAATGATCTGCTCAATTGCAGGGTAGTTCATCTGTCTGAGTCAGAGGTTCTTATGGCCTCCTAGGGAGGAAGTTATGACGCCACTGTGAAATTGGCACTGCTGAGTTTTATATGCAGTTGCTGCAGGGAGGAGTCTTCATTTGGCTTTCATTGAAAGACAAAACTATCTTACCTGTGTTCTGTTTGTCAGTGTGTAACGGCCATGAGGCCAGTTCTTGTTCTTGGAATGATACAGTTTTCTTTGTTGTCTTATCACTGTTCCAGCAGCCCACAGAATTATTTTGTTCGAATAGCTGTGATGATCCAATCAAGACAGGTGAAATGGCAGACAGTGAGAAAGGATTGAATAGGACTTAGAACCAGAAGATAGAGGTTGAAGGTCCTGCTTTGCCCCAGACTGGGGGTAAATTCTTCAATAGCTGACTCTGTCCAGATGAGGAGGATAATAATGCCCTACCAGCTTCAGTTAACTTGTTAGGGGATCAATAATATATGCCATGTAAATTAAGCCATATAAAAGTTAGAGCTTGAAACATTTGTTGGGCAGCTGAACTATGAAGTGAATGAAACTAGCCTTGCAGAGCAGGAGATCAAGTGGGAACATGAGGTCCACAAGCCAGCTTCTACTTCACACTTAGACCTTAGAGTCTTGAATACCTCTCTGTCTTTTTTGTTTGCCATCTGTTCTCTTACTTTTCATGCTGTTATTGTTGCAGTGCATAGATGGGCTCAGTCCACAGAAGCTGCCTGAATTCTCCCAGTAACAGATGAGGAAATTGAGGCTCAGGGATGTTCAGTAGCTTGCCTAAGGTCACATAAGCTAGTGAGTGACAGAGCCCGGATTCAAACCAGATGTGCTTCAAAAGCAAGTGCTCTCAGCTACTGTGGTGTGTATCCACCATTCATTCAGGGTAGCATGGGGTAAGCCCACTCTGTGTCGTGAGACAGAGAACATTCAGACTAAGACATGCAGCTGGGACTTGTCCTGTGGGAGCCACTCTTCACCAGAATCACTTCTGCACACACCCCCATCTCATGCATTTTCCCTGGTCGAATTCAACCATTTGTTCTCCTTAGTGCCTTCGTTGCGGAGCTCATGTAGAAAAACAGTGGAGCCTCCAGGTTGGTTCTGTGTGGGTTCATGCTTCCCAGATGCCAGCAAACTGTGTGTTCTCCTCTGGTCCTTGGTCAGCTCCCTCTCCCATCCCTCACAGGAATTGGTCTTGACACTCTGGATTTCACTGAATGTTACATGTTTCTGTTGAAGAGATTGCCGATGTTGGACGTTAGGATTAATTTGGCAGTGCAAGAGTTTGTGTTTCTCTTTCTTTGAGGACCTCTATATTGTTATTAATGGTGGTGTTGAGGAAACCACGGAGCTCCTGAAGCAGCGATTTGACCACATTCTCTATACGGGAAACACTACAGTTGGGAAAATTGTCATGGAAGCTGCTGCCAAGCATCTGACCCCTGTGACTCTTGAACTGGGAGGGAAAAGTCCATGTTATATTGATAAAGATTGTGACCTGGACATTGTTTGCAGGTGAGTCTAGCTCTCTGATTTTCCGAGGTTTTCCCAGCACAGTGGAGACTTTTCCTGACAGTGTTACTCTTTGCACTTGAACTCCATACCTTACGGCTCGAAGATATATCATTAAGCTTTGATGGTTGATGTCCTCGAGATTAACAGGAGTCTTTCACAGTATCTTGGCGCCACTGTCAAAAATGGTGAGCTGTAAGTCCTGACATCATGTGGTTGTCCTTAGGAATTTCGAAAAAGTTATTTCTGTTCTCAAGATAACAGCTAGATATAGCAAGAAATTTTAATGTTCTTCTGGCCAGTGATCCATGAAGTACATAATCCAAAGTATTGTTATATGCCTAATAAAATCTTTATTTTTTTATTATTGCATTTTAGGTTTGGGGGTACATGTGGAGAACATGCAAGATTGTTGCATAGGTACACACATGGCAGTGTGGTTTGCTGCCTTCCTCCCCATCACCTATATCTGGCATTTCTCCCCATGCTATCTCTCCCAACTCCCACCCCCTGCTGTCCCTCCCTTAGTTCCCCCCAACAGACTCCAGTGTGTGATGCTACCCTCCCGGTGTCCATGTGTTCTCATTGTTCAACACCCACCTATGAGTGAGAACATGCTGTGTTTGATTTTCTGTTCTGTGTCAGTTTGTTGAGAATAATGATTTCCAGGTTCATCCATGTCCCTACAAAGGACATGAACTCATCGTTTTTTTATGACTGCATAGTATTCCATGGTGTATATGTGCCACATTTTCCCTGTCCAGTCTATCATTGATGGGCATTTGGGTTGGTTCCAGGTCTTTGCTATTGTAAACAGTGATGCAGTGAACATTCATGTGCATGTGTCCTTATAGAACGATTTATAATCCTTTGGATATATACCCAGTAATGGGATTGCTGGGTCAAATGGAATTTCTATTTCTAGGTCCTTGAGGAATCGCCACACTGTCTTCCACAATGGTT